CAGCTCGTGACGTCACCAAGAGAGGCCAGTGTTTTATTTTATCGCTTGTCGACTAACGCGTCAGTTCATGTTAATTCATCGGTGATTCACGTATGTTTCTGAAACGGTCCAGAATCCTTTTGTTGTTGATTCATCAAAATAATTGGCGGAAAAATTACTGTTTTGTGAAATATTTTGTGTTGTGATCGGCCAAATAACAATGCCTTTCAAGTGTTGTGTTCCCTTTCGTCAGGGGAATTATGTGGCTGGTTCAAAAGTTCATGCTTTTAGTTTCCCATTGGACGAGGAGCTATCGAAAATATAGGTATATGCAATTCAATGCGAGGATTTTACTCCATTTGAGTTCAGTAGTAAACAGAGCTTGATTTATAATGATGAATTAATAATAGAAGACAATTACTCTCTCATAAAAAGTATAAGTAGAGGAAAAATAGGAAAGCTTTGATTGTGCAGTTAGTTTTGTATTCGTATATTATAGTCAAAAAAATCATCTCTGAATTCGAGGAAATTTTCTTGGATGTTCATAATAAACGGGCATTTTTAATTCTCATTCTCAAATTTTTTTCTGAAAACGGTCATTTGCCTCGTGGCAATGAATGCAGAATTCATTCCAATGATCAAATTGCAACTATTATATTAACATGAACTACAAACACTCTACTTAAAAAAGTGAAACTGCATTTATCATGATATTTATCATGAAGATATTTGACTGAAAAGTCACAAATTTCACCTTCTTTTTCACTTGTCTTCTGGATGGCATTTAGAACAAATTTTCCCTCTTTTATCATCATATTGGACAATTTATATATAATTCGACTATAGATATGATTTTCTTGAGATTAATCCATATTTTGTGAAAAGAAGGAAGAATATCATTCAAAATAATGGCGTTTGTAATGTCATTCGAAAGGAATCTATTAACATTTGACATCTCGTATTTTGATTGACTATTGATTAAATGGTCGTCATCTGAAATACTTGTTCACTAAATATGAAAAACTCGCCATTTCCTGTTGAATTCTCTATATATAAAAATGTGCCATCGAAGTACATCATGAGTACATAAAGTGTCCAATGACAAAATAAGAGCAAGTAGCTTCAAATGTCCCCAACACAAGGGGAGAAAGAAGGCGAAATTTCGAACTTATTCTTGAAACATCTCAATAAATAGTGGTTTGTTCACATTTTCATTATAAAATTCGGTTTATCAGACAAAAATACGTGAGTACCGAAAAAAATTTTCAAAAAAAAACCATCGCATGATAAATGAAGTTTTACCCTTAGAAATTACGGTTCCAAGTGAAACGATATCCACTTGGGTGAAAAATCCAACAACAGAAAATTGAAAACACTCACTGGTTATTTTTTCAGGTAATAGGAATTCTCCAAGATGAATATAGGTAATTGTAACAAACAGCATGTCAATCAAAAGAGAATACATTTTCCACAATTTTCTTTCGATCAATCTCACGATGAGTTTATGTTCTGCGGGACCTGTATAAGTAGGTGTGAAGTTTACCTTCACCACAATTTTTGCCAATATATTCAATTCGAGTGGGTTGCTGTAGGTGGATACTTGTGTTTTATCCTGGTTTCTGCTTTAAAACTTCGTTTTTCCATAATAAACTCGAATGGGGTGCGAAGAAGGGCTCAGTTGACGACTGGCATCCATTTTCAACCGGAAGCCCTTCAAAAACAGCAAAATCGGCTCAATGATGATCTAAAACTAAGCGCTTGTCGTTTCGAGCCGCTGGTTAGGCCTCACTAAGTGACGTCACCCACGGAGCATGCAGGCCTTGTTGTATCGGTGGTAACGCCTGAAGCCTAATCCGCAGTGATTTTCAACTCATTTCGACTCCTAATATCATTTTCCGGAAATTGGAATGGTTCAATGGATGTTGGCGAGCAGTGTATGTCAATGAAGATGACTCCACTTGGTGATAAAATGCATTTTTGGTAAATCTCCTGCCTCAGCAAATTTCAGGATCGTTATCCAACGATTACGTCAGATATGAGGGTGTTTCCATGAAAAGTGAAACAAAAATGAATTTTTCAGATCTGAAAATTCATCAGGAAATATGAATAGGTTGGAAATTGGGCGTCCTGATTTCGAATCCGAAGTGATTTTCGACCTATTCTACTTCCTAATATAATTTTCCGGACATTGGGGGGGTTCCATGGCTGTTGGCGAGCAGTTTATATGACTGAAGATGACCCAACTTGGAGTGCAATTTCAGTATATATCTCACTCCAGCAAATTTCAGGATCCTTATCCAACGATAACGTGAGATACAGGGGTGTTTCCATTTGAAGTGAGACACACTGTATATATCATGAAAATATAAATCCTTTCTCGGTTTATCCAACAGTAAACATCTACTTTTCTGGCTATATGCCACGATGAACATTGAACACACAAGTTGAGAATTTGAAAACAAAATCTTGCCACGTCGAACATTTAATAATATTTGTTGAACATCCAAAAGGAGAGCATGAAATATAAGAATTCTTTGAAATTGAAAATTGTCATTCCCTCTCAAATCGTATGAATAATATGTATGATGATATAAAAATATAACCCACCAATGAATTCAGTATCGGAATGGAAATTGAAATGCATAGGGAAAGTGTAATTGTATAAATTCGGATCTTGATGAGCCTGAAAATTCCAATTCAAACCCTCCTCAGTAACCCGTTGAATTTTCAGAATCCCTAATAACACACTTATGTCCCATGGATATCCTTAGGACGTCCTGTCGGGACATTCAGGACGTCCATAGGACGTTCGAATTTGGTACCACCATTGGACGTCATTGACATTTCATGGTTGTCTAGAAGGGACATTATACAGGGTGTCCCGAAATTAGCCTGCCAAACTTTAACAGCGGCATTTACTACCAAAAATAAAAAGAAAACTTTCAATGAACATGAGTCGAGAAATGTCTCCTAAGGGAGCTACGGCCCCCTGGGAGGGGGCTCCTGAAGATGATATTTCTTGAATATTTCCGAAACTCCATGTAATAAAATGATGCAATTTGGTGTAAGAACTAAAATTTTTATGCCGAATGCAGTGAAAATAAAACTATTTTAATATTTCAATCTGGAGTGTATAATACAGGGTGTGACTACATTGAATATTACTCAAAATTCTTTGTATGCATATTTTTCAACAATTCAATCTCTGATTATGAAATTTCACACCTCTTTACAGAAAAAAGGTACTCCTGTTCCGTGACGATCAGATGTATCATTATCGAGTAAAAGCAATTCAAAAATATTGTTACCTCTCAGATATCATTCCTAATATTGCAATGAGGCGTAGTGAAAATGAAAAAAAAAACACAAAAATCGAAGTAGTTGTTTTATCATTATTTTTCTATTTTTCGCGCTTTTATGAGATTGTTTGGTGAAAAGAAAGTACTTGATTTTTTTAAAGCCACTATTATTTGAAAATTGGCAACATTATGCATAAGATGTGAGTGCATCAATATTTTCAAATCGATTTCTCTCGAAGATGATACATCATATCGATGCGGAACGAGAGCACCTTTTTTTTGTGAAATGGTGTGGATTTTCATAATCCGAGATTCAATTGTCAAAAAATATGCATACGAAAAAGTTTGAGCAATATTTAATGTAGTCCCACCCTGTATTATACACTCCTGAATGAAACTTTGAAATTATTTTATGTTCACCGCATTGGGCATGGTAAGTTCAGTTCTTGTACCGAATTGCATCATATTATCTTGTGGCGTTTCGGAAATATTCAAGAAATATCATCTTCAGGAGCCCCCTTTCAGGGGGCCGTAGCTCCCTTAGGAGACATTTCTTGACTTATGTTCATTGAATATTTTCTTTCTGTTTTTGGTCGAAGAAGCCGCTGGTGGAGTTTGGCAGGCTAATTTCGGGACACCCTGTATAAGATCTGAAGACATGCCAGAATGTGTACTACTCGGGACATCCGATGGATGTCCCTAAAGGAACGATTAAAAACATATCCCACATCAGGGACATGCCAAGGACGTCCTTGCATGGACATTCTACAATATGTTCTAAGGGATGCTATTTCTAGGACATTTGAAATGATGTACCAGCTGGGACATTCCGTGGACGACCTTGCTGGGACATTGCATGAGATGTACGGGATGGGACGTCCCAAAGACACTTATTTTTGGTTCGGGACATTCGAACGTGAATTGTACCAAATAGGGACGTCTCTTGGACGTTGTGTGCAATTAGGGATGATATTATGTGAAGGAGAATGCAAATTCTCTACTTCAGTATATTTTTTTCTCAAATTCTCATCGTGTATGTCCAATAAATATAATTCAATGTTCGTCGTGTCATATAGCCATCACGGCAGTAGATGTTTTCTGTTGAAAAAATCTGAGGAAGGATTTATATTTGCATCACATAGAGAATGCGAATTCTCAATGTATTTCTTTCTATGAACATACGACATGTTTTCATATCTATAATATATCTGAGAATATTCTTTTTCAATACGTTCACCCAATCAAAGGGTTCAAACTTGAACGATGGATGCTTGTTATTGTTATAGACCATCAATGGCAGATACGTGATAAGGTTTTATCAATTCAAAATTTCATTCCACCTCCTGTATGATGAATATAAATTTTTCATACATTCAAAAATTAAAAAAGAGATGAATCTCTCCTCCTCATAATATTAGTACATAAAACTGCCGGAGAATCATATTTTTCAATTTTTTTGTGATTTTTTCAATGTTGCATCACGAGATTTTTGGTAGCAAACCTCAGATTCGGATTCAGTAACTCAAAATACGTATGAAATGAAAAACATCGATACTACCCCTTAATTTTTCTAGAAAAAATACCTACAATTTAACTGGATCACCATCTTATACTTTGTGCATAGATTCTTTTTGGATAGTGATCACCATGTATTGGGTGGGTTGGGGTTTCGTACCCAACCTGACCTTCCACATGCAGTAGGAACGAAAACTATAGGCATAGTTGTTGAATGAAAGTGCACTAATTCAGGAAAAAAGTCCATTTACTAATAACAAACAGAGGTCATAACTTTACCTATATAAAGCTAGGCGTATTATCAGAATGGTATAGCAGTCGCTCCTTGTGTCCAAGCTACATCTAAACACCACCATGAACTCTCTTGTAAGTTCCTTCATTATTTCATATACAGTGCGTCTATAAATAAGTCACTCATTAATTCATTATATTACCTAAATGCAGAAAAATATTGAAGATTCATGACAAGTGGATGTTTGATTTTAATTCACTGTTTTTGAAAAAATCGATTGTCTTTCATACAGGGTGAAAAACCTTCGTGTAATTACGCCAACACCAGTTTTTCTTTTTCAAATTGAAGACAGATATTTTTCGATACATTAATACTCTCCTTTTGTTCTCAACATTTTCCAAAAAAGATGTCACCGACTATCAATTGATTTTTCCTTTTGGGCTTTCTGATCGTGGAATATCGAAGCGTAGTGACATTTTGCAGCAGATTTGTTCTTACCTTACAAGTTAATTGAAATACAACTTATATTTCATTTGAAAACCCAGAAATTCTAAAAAATTGATTTTTATTGCCTTTACGAAGTCATGCACAGTACTAACACTACGGAAATTGAACATAGAACGATTTATTATGCGTTTCCGTGTTCCACCGTATTCCACAATAATTACATATCATTCGTATTTCAATTCATAATATTTATCTGATTTATCCTCCCTCCATTGTTTTGCGAGAATTCATTGACGTATATAACTTCCCTTCAAATTTTCCTGAACAATTTTTGAATTTTTGTCCACCTTTTAACGATTTGAAACAATGTGTGACGCAGTTCTGAAAATAACCAATTCAAAAAATTGCGTTGAAGTCATCACACGAAGATAGTTCACCTTGTATATCAGTTAACTAATTGAAGAGACATTGAACTCATGACAAGGAACGTCATGTTTCAGGAGTGTCTCAAGTTGCTTTATTTTGTTCGTTTTTCCTATTTCCATAACAGCTAGAGAAAAACTGACCAAGGGTGTTTTTTGTGAAATGTCGATTAGTAAAAAACCGCATTTCTATATCTCTAACATTTTCCGAGATATGAGCAAAAATTGTCATTCGACCGGTTTCCAAAATATGCCATATCATTTTCATTTTCGATTATTTGTTCAAACGAAAAAAACCTTCTATAGGTACTTTCAACGTAGAATGAGAAAGGGCTGCAAAAAAAAATATATTGCGTACCAATTGTCTGATATCAAAGCCAACGTTGTATTGTTGTCGAATTAACAGTAAGGATAGGTGACTAGACATATCTTGATATATCTATTTTTGGAAAGCTTTTTTTCTCGATTTCTTGAAGTCAGAGCCAACTATGGTTTCTATTTGAGATAACAACGTTGGCTTTGATATCAGATAGTTGCTAGGCGATATATTATTTGGCAGGTTGTCTCATTCTCCGTAAGAAAGAGCCAGTAGAGAGTATCTTTCGTTTAGAAGAATGAAACAATATTGAAAAATGAAAATGTTATGGCTTATTTTTGATATCGGTCATATGTCAATTTTCGCGGAAACGGTTGTAGATATCAAAATGCGGTTTCCACCAATCAACTTTCCACAAAAATCGAGCTCTAGACTCCTTGGTTTGCCTCTAGCTGCTATACATAGGAAGAACTGCCAAAATCAAGCGATTTGGGACACCCTGTACATAAATATGAATTGTGCATTGAGGTAATATGAATTCAACCACTGGTTATACAATCTCAAACTGATTGGTCTTCAATACCGAGAAAAATAGATTATAATACAGGGTGACGATAATCAAAATACGTTTCGAGCCATCTATCACCATTATTGATCGTAAACAATTTCGATGGACTGAAAATCTTAAATCTCAATGAATACTATAAGTTGGCTGGTTCACATCTCACACATTCAAAAGACGTACTGAATTATAGATGTTCAACGTTCATTGGATGTTCTTAGAACACCACTCTGAGCGTACAGTAGATGCTCATATTTGAACGTACAACATGGACATTTCCTAAACGTCCATAAAAAGTTTGGACTTGAAATAATTTCCAGAAGACGTTTATTTTGTAACTTTTATTGCATTCTCACGTACTTTGTGTACTCACACTCACAATGGATGTCTATTCTGCATTCATGAATGTTCCAATTGAAAGTTCTGTTGAAAGTTTTATCTGTGACATTCAATGTACCTACGTCCACAATCGTACGTACAATGGATGTTGATTAAACATCTATGAAAGTTAGGACTCGGAATTGATGTGAAATGTGGAGTAAATCAATTTTCGTACGTGAAATGAATGTTCATTTTTCGTTTATGGATGATTATATGTTGAATAGACGTCCACTGGACGTACAATTTGAAACAACCAATGAGCATTTATGTGTATACGTACAAACAAAAATGTCTTTCATATGTCCACGGACATTTGTGGACACTAAATGGGTCTTAAATGCACGGAGAAGATAATGTTTCAAGCAAATTCAGATATGAGTATACATTCATCTGAGTTATCACGAAAAATCATAGAATCTGCGAGATCAATGATGATTAATGCAATATAATTGAGGTGTTCCCCGAGGCATATAACCTCCAGAAATTCGAGAAGAACACCAATCCCTACCTTATTTCCCTTGGATCTCACGATGTTCTCTGAACATTACAAGATATCCACTTTCGTGGAAACCAGAACATCAAAAAAAATATAAATATTGTTTTTGACCTGAAATGTACGTCCCCAGGACGTCCGCGAGACGTTTGGCGTCGTACGTTCTCAGAACGTCCAAATAAGAGTCTGGGACGTTTGGCCATGAAAAGGATATAAACAGGACGTTCTCGGGACGTCCTGTGCTATCTGGGAATGGACGTTCAATGAATTCAAAGTTTTTGTTTGTTGCAGTTCGTCACTGTTTTCGCCATTTTGGCCGTCAGCGCCAACGCAGGAGTCTTGGGCGGACTCGGCTGGGGCGGCCACGGTGTGGGTGGTCTGGGCGGTTTGGGCGGTTTGGGCGGCTGGGGCGGTCATGGTGCCGGCTTGGGCGGCTGGGGCGGACACGGAGCTGTCGTAGCTGTTAGTCCGTGGGCACACAGCCCGGTAGGCCCATCTGGAGTCGTCACCGGAGCGGGAGCTGCTGGACCTTCCGGAGTTGTCACCGGAGCCGGTGCTGTCGGACCTTCTGGTAAGTGAAGTTGCCCGATACGAACGAATAGAAGGCATTTTTTGAAACGGACACTGAAGTCGTCCATTTTAATACCAAAAGTAGCTCTCGAATTGACGTTTCTATTACTGACACAAAAAAAGGTATGTTTCTAGGCAAAATATTTAGTTCCTATATGAGCTGAAGTTGAACTTCAGCTCCTAGGAATTGAAAAGGATGTACTAGACGTCATCAAGAATAATAGTAGATTGTTCAATTAGGATCAAAAGTGACACTTTGTTTGACGAGCGAATTTTGCATTTGCGAGGCGGAGCGTTAAGCGAAACCTTCTTCTATTGTGAATTTTGAATAAAACTCTGAAACAAATAAGAAGTAAAACCTCCTTCATCAAAACTATTTTTTCTAGGCAACATGATTCAAAATCAACTGTTTTAACTCATTCGTGGCACTCTAGATTAAAAATCGAAATATGGAAACTTCTGGATGATTAATGGCAAATGGAGTGTCATAATAATCACAATGTGATTCTCTATCGAAATGAGTAAAATTATACCGGGTGTTCCATTCAAAATAAGAAGATATAGGTGATTTCTGGTCAAACTGGAAGCGACAGAAAACAATTGAATACGACATTTAATGCATAGTTATGAACTATACTCACAGACCAAAGTTCATGTGATTATCTGCATAAACAAGAAAGTTATAGGGGTGAGTTAATTTTGAGAAACATTCCCGGTAGAGAAGTCAACCAGCAAAATAAGTAGAGCTCATAAAGAAGTAAATAATTTCTTGATCAAATTCCGTTTCCTAAAGAGATGTTTTTATAATACTGCTGCAAAATACTCAAAACAACTCACATTATGTTCATCAATTGACGCCATTTTTCTGGATATCCTCTAAGAAGAATTTCAATTCATTCTACTTGATACAACTTTCTTCCTTCTCACTTGTTATAATCATGAATTGCCAGCAGAATGCCACCGTTAAATTCATTGGACCATTGAATCGTCAGCAATTTCGCATTTGCTGGTATCTTTCTTAGATTAAATTGTTCTTCAATACGTCGTTACAAATGAAACAGTTTTTTAATAGGTGCTCAATAATTATTGAAAGACTATCCACTTTCTTTTGATATCTTTTCTGCTAGCTAGCACAGCAAAAACTTTGTCAAGGCTTCCAAAATCCATCATTTCAGTTATAGTACACGGTAAATCTGAGCGAAATGAATATTATAATAATATATACTACTGTTTTCACCACTAGCTCTGAAATCTACCATTGTTCACCTCTTTTCAAGACGTAAAGTATGTTTTTACTATACCAAGGAAGGTTTCGTCAGTTAACAATGAACACATAGCCCTCTCAGTTATAATCGACCAGAATTCACTGTTCTGATGCAAGATTCGCACAAATGGCACATGAATCTAGTAGGTTAATTTATCCCTAACGACTTCTCATTATGCTGTCATGGTCATGACTACTAGATTCTCATTAGAATTATTCTTTTCAATTCTGATAAAAATCTAGAAGTGCTGCCATAGTGATATAGGTACAGAGGTGTTTCGGTTTCACAGGACAACAATGATTGAGGTATATTGCTAGTGGTGAAAAGAATTCAATACACACCTTGGTTGTGAAGGGATGATATTCCTCACGATCTTGGTGTACGAATAACAATTTTTTTCTTGCAGGAGTCGTGAATGGACATGGAGCTGTTGGACCCACCGGCCCCAACGGACACGGTATTGCCATCGCTGCTATCCCCGCAGTAGGTCTTGGAATTGGACACGCCGGACTTGGACTCGGACATGCTGGTCTTGGACTGGGACATGCTGGTCTTGGATACGGTCTTGGACTCGGCCATGCTGGTCTTGGACTTGGGATTCATCATTAGAGATAATCTGGACCGATGTTCAAACTGCGCTGTATAAAATGAATGCTGCCTCATCTCTTCTAGTTATTTATTATTGTAGAGACTCCTATACGTGAATAAAACATTTCAACTCAGCTGGAAATTAATTTTTTTCACATTGTGCCTAGTACGTTAAAGTAACGAATACGAAAAATAACCAACGTAGATGATCCATAACTCACAGTGGAGGTGATATAAATCAGGAGGGGTGAAAGAACTTACCCAGTTAACACAGATTGATTCCAAAGATATAAGAGGCCATCACATCAATACCACACATCACATCTGTGACTCGAATTGAGAGTCCCACTGAAATCAAAATCACTGCTATTCTGGACCCTTTTGGTCCTTTTATGATTCACATTATGATGCCAAATGGAATTCGCAGTACGCATTGAAGCGACTCATCTTTCAACATCAAAATTTATTGATTCCGTTACATGAATAGGCAAAAATGTGAGAATCTAGTGAATCACTTGTTGGTTGTAAGGGAGCCTCACAAATTCAACATCATTTTAGGCCTCGAATTCAATGAGAGGTGAAGAATATTGCGAATGTTTTATGAAATAAGGAGTCCCCTGGCAATATCACTGATGTTTTCCTGAGATTCGCATTGTTACCTATCGAGACATGGATGTGACATCCCAGGGATGTTTGTGTTCACTGGGTTCAGTCACAACTCCACCACATGAACAATTCAATAATGACCCACGGTCATAGACATGTTTATGTGGTGAAGTTGTGTCTGTAACTTCTTTCACCCCTCCTGAATACGAAAGATGTAAACATTTTTCGTTGCATCATTAGCTACAAGAGGTTGTTACGGATTTCATTGGAATTCCTATCCAAAACTCTTTGAAACATGAATGAGGACCCACTTTCATGAGAGCTGTCACAGTTCTTCTTGCGGAGCTTCTCAAAACATTTATAGTATATTATTCAACAAGAATATAATGAGAGCTATTATTCACGAAGATTGAGTTCATATTACGAGCGTAGCGAATTGCATGATCAACCTGAGTGAATAATAGCTCGTTATATGTGAGTAAAATACTATACTTTGTCCACGACTACTATTGTTTTTGATATATGCATTTATTTTTAACAAACTTGCAGAACGATAGCCATTTTCCACATCAGTGAATAATAGCGGCAAATAACCATTATTTACTGGTCTGGAGTTCTCTATATGTGTTATATCGCGTATACCCTAGGAACTCTTGACCAGTGAATTATGGTTATTCACTGCTATCATTTGCTGGTGTGAAGAATGGCTATCGTTTTTCTTGAATAAGTACATGTATTATGAATATGTTATACAAGAGTTGTGGATGAGTAGCATCAATTGAATCATGCCTCGAACTAGACAATTTGTTAGATCACGTAAATAATGCCGAACCCAAAATAAAGTTTACTTTGGAAATGGAATCTGATAATCAGTCACCATTTCAGATGCCTTCATTGAAAACAGACAACAGAACAAGTGTATATCGTAAAATACTAACATATACCCCAATTTTCAATCGAATCATCAGGAAACAATCAAAAAAGATATAATCAACTCACTTCATGGTCGAGCCAAATCAATATCATCTAACCAGGAAATTTGCAATAACGAAATATACCAAATTGAAAATATTCTTCGATCCAAAGAATTTCATTGATGAAACGATTCATCAAATTGAAAACAAAGAGAATACACCACAACAAAAACAACCATCAATAACGATGAATATAATACCGTATATTTTTTTGGCATATCTGAAGAAGAAAAAACAACCTTCGATAAGAACGAATATGATACGGCACATTCCTGGCATATCTGAAAAAAAAACGTGTCGATTCTAACTCAAACGAAACCAAAGAATTTTTCTTATGTTCGGGTTCCCACGAAAAGGGATATCCTGTAATGTTCTGAGAACATCGTGAGAACCAAGGAAAATAAAGTAGGAATTTGTGTTCTTCTTGAATTTCTGGAGGTTATATGCCTTGGAGAACAGCTCCCTTGGCAATGTATTTCAGAGCCTCGCTGATCGTTGGATGAACGAGTCTTTGGAAAGAGATGTTCTGCAGCTCTCCAAAGTGACGAAGAGGTGCGAAGCGTCAACTCGACGGGTTAACCTCGCGGGGACTGTCAAGGGAGAAACAATTGTTGATATTTGTGAGCGATGCATCACCCATGAGACGAATTGCCCTTTTTTGGACAGAATCCAACAGTTTCAGGGTATGTTTGACTGCTGCACTCCAAATATGGGAACAATATTCCAGGACAGGTCGAATCTGTGCCTTACAGTGTAGCGTTTCAGAATTCCATCCGGTATACAACCTGTAAAGACGGGTGCGCAACCTGTGAGCGGGGTTCTAGAAACGTGTAATACAGTCGCCTAGATATAATTCTTGGTTCCTAGTAGCGCGATCAACTGGTTCTGTAATTTGCAAATTGTATGGGCACTAGTTTCCGCGGTTGCGTTTCTTCGCTAATAGATAGCGCTTAGTGTGAATCTGCATTAATTAGCAGGAATTCTTAAATAAAACAACGTTTACAGATTACCATTTTATTATTGCCTATACGTCAATTTGAACGAATGCTATTTCCATTATTCTTGCATAGAGGGATGAAACCTGAAAAGAAAATCATTGAGAGAAAAGCTTGAAAATCAGTTGTTTCATGTTGGATTGGGGATGATTTTCACTTACCTGTTGTCTCACTTCATTTCGTCCAGGATGGTCGAGTCCATAGTTCTCCTGTTCCGCTAGGCAGCCTTCGAGTGTTTTCCTATCTTCGTGGTAGATAATCTTGGTTCCTAGAGGGCGCTGCATGGCAAGTTGTAGTTTCCATTCCTGTATCCTGCATTACCTACGAAGTGGACTCGAGGGGTCAAGGGGGTTTAGCAAGAGGGAGACGGGAAAAGAAATGGCGATGGTCGTTTGTATCGACTCCTGAGGTGACTGGTGATCCAAGATTCCATGGCCGTTTGAGCTGGTGTATAGCCAGGATTTGTGAAAAAACGTCAGTGTAGTATGTGCCTGGTTTCTTTGTAGGGATCGAGATAACCATCAGGGCAGTTGTGTCAGGGCTAATGCAGAAGCCGCCCAGGGTATCGGCATGCACGCCGTTTCTGGTATTTTTAGTTTGAGCTCGCTCCTATCTGGATCGAGATGTAAGTAAGTTCAGATTAATTTCTTGCAAGAACCTAGGGATTGTTTAACTTTTAGGGGTATATGTTTTTCGAAATTATGAATCCTGTAAAGGGCCGTCCAATCACTACACTAGTGATTTGGCATGTCGGCAGAAGCCATTTTCTTTAGTTGAGACAACCCTCCAGGGTGAGGTAAGTTTTCATGTCCTGTTTTATCTACGAGGGGAAATTAATAATGTTTATTTTCAGGGTTGTTTGGCAAGGCCTATTTTAGGCTTATTTTGGTTGTGCCTAAGTTAGGCATGTTTTTTTTATGATGAGGCAGCCTACGCTGTAATTTTTGGTTGATTTTGTGGGGGAGGCCCCATCATTTTTTTTTTTGTTTGACTCCTGATACCCTGGAGTTTCGGGATATCGCCGATTTTCTGCATTCATCTGCAGGGGCTGCAGACAATCATCTGATGTCCTACCTGTCAGGATGATTACTTCTACCTGAGCTCAGAAGCTACCCTTTGGACCTTGGACAGTTCCGGAATCACAGATAAGCCTTCATTTAATTAAAATACATTTTGCTAGTGACAATTTTTCATAACATCAATGGTTCCACCAATTTAAGTCCATTAATTTATTATCACATATTTCTTCACACTTTGGATGAGATTATATCTCTACCCTGCGCAACACACAGTATACTGGGTGAGGCCCAGAGCCTTGAGAACGAAGTTTTCATTTACATGTAATATTGCCTCCTTTGGTGATGAGAATTGGTGATAATCTAGAACTCATAGGTTCATACTTATAATTTCTCTTCCTTTATTATGTTTGGATGTTGTTTCACTCAGAATTTTCTCACTTCTTAAATGTTTGTTTTATTGTGATACCTATAGCTTATGAAGCGATATTATGGGCTGTACAAATCGGTACTTCTGAATAGATTAGTATTAAAAAAAAATTACAAAAATCCATTTGTTTGTATTTCTCAACTCCTACTCCTGATGGACTATTGTTCTATGTAAAAATTATTAACACTTATCATTCATGTTGAATTTTTTCCAACCAGTCTATGAGTTTCTTTTTCTTGACTTTTCAATGAAACTTTCCTTCATAGTATAAAACTAAAGTCAAGTGGTGCCCAAAAATTTCGATAGTAAATGACAGATTCAAAATTACAACACAGTCCTTACCCATGACCCAGCTCTCCAAGACTATAAAAGCTGTCGGAGCAGTAACCATTCATACAGGTAAGTAAAAAGGTTACAAGTGGCGCAGCCAACGTGTGGAGCCCGAATTGTGATGTATTTTTTGAATTTGTTATTTTTGAAAATAGTCCAGGAGGGTGACTGAGAAATACATACAGGGTGATTATAAAAACCTGACATGAAAATTTTCTGAAGTCCAATCGTTAGGAAATTGATTCAACCTTCAATGGGTATTCTTTGAGAAATAATAGTATGGTGAAATTTTGCATTTTTTGGAAATTTGAAAATTTTTCTTGAATTTATTTTTCTGCTGGATTCTGAAGGACAATACGGTAAGTGTTACTGAACTGGTGCCATCTTTGGGTATTTTTGCAACTGATTTTCGACCTTGGAACTCTTTGACCATTTACTTAGTAAGGAAGTAATTTTTTTAAAATGGAGGAAGCATTCAAGCCGATTCATTTACTTTTTGAAGAACTGAACTATGAACTTGCCATTAGGGGTATTAAAACTAACAAGCCTCAAGATGAAAGGAGAAAAATTCTTGCACGTTTGTTAGATAAAGAGAAGAACAATCCTGGATCAACCATCAATATGGCTTTGTATGATTTCAATTATGATAATGAAAAAGTAGCTATTGAGGGAACTTTGAGTTCAATTAAAGATGCCATGGTAGATTTTGAGGGTACTACAGCAGACTCTTTATACAAACGGTTAAAATCTCGGATATTTCATATTTCAGGTCGTGTACAAAGGAT